GCTGCTTTAGCGTTGCCTCTCACACCTATTTGTTCTTTGTTTTGATGAAGAAATATGGCAGCAAGTGCTAATTACCAAGCAATTAATACAAAAATAAGAAAAAGAAATCCAATAAATTACTTCAGAGCTTTCCTCAGATTAAAAACAATGAACCCAACTGTTCACAAAGCACAATTTTGTTACAAAGAATAGCTTGAACTTTTTGTTATTCTTTTTACACTTGTAATGAAAAATGATAGAATTACATTAGTAGACAAGCAATAAATCACAGAAATCTTATTGTTGCTGACGATGAGAGGTCCAACTCCAGCCAAAATTAACGTGGGTTTCCCTGTTTGTTCAACTTTATTGGAAAGGATTTTTTATTTTTATTGCTTGCAAAATGAAAGCAGAGCAACTGGAGGGGATGAGGTGATGAGGGATGTAATAAGTGTCTGTTATGACCATCATAATTTATTCCCTCAGTGATACAGTGCCAGGGAAGTATGAGGGGAGGGGGGAGGGGGGGGGGGTGTCTTCATGTTTTGGGGGGTGAACAAGAGGGATTAAATGGCCCTAATCCGTGTGTTGATGAGCACTGTCCCCAATTTGATATCACTACAGCTTTTGGCCTGAACTGCCGCAACAACAGCATGTGACCCTGAATCGGACATGATAGCTGTAAGAGGCATTAACCCCAAAAATACTGGGAAACACCAAAACTGCCACACAGAATTAGGCTGACGTCCGGGGTACGGTGTGTGTGTGTGTGTGTGTGTGTGTGTGTGTGTGTGTGTCCAGTGAACATCAAGGTGGTCCTATTACAATAGAAGACCTCAAGCCTCAGTATCAGTTCACATCCTGTTTCCTGTGCGTCTGATGCCAGCAAAGCAGATTCTTGAATATCTGAGCCACATTTACACGACCGCTTCAGTACGGGAACAAGAAGTCGACTGACATAGAATTGATTGACGATAATTTCAGTGTTTTTTGTTTGTAACTCCCTTTATTGGACAGTGACGGAGCATTTGAGCCCTTGTGGTATAAAGGCTGTAACCATTTAGCTACCAGGTTGCCCCGAGATGAACCGTTTAAAGCTCCATACTTTACTCTTCTCCTGTGTTTTGTTTAAAGTGTTGAACCATAAGAAGATATATTTAAAAACCATCTCAGTGTAGTTTTACGTCTCCTCTCTCAGGCTTCTCTCTGGAGCTCCAGTAACAAGTCAGTCAGCCAATCAGAAGAGAGGAGGCTCTGAGCCTCTCTTCTGATTGGCTGACTGTTTTCTGAGTGATCAAATAAAAATATATCAGATTTCAGGTAAAAACACTCAGAGAAACCAAATCCTGCAAGTGTTGGATGGTGGGTCAAGGCGGGCGGCTCTTGGGGCATGGCTGAGAGCGCTGTTTCATTGTGACATCACAAAGTTACAGAAGTCCTGACGGCTTGTTTTAAGGGTCAGTTTCTGAATACTTTTACACTATTAATATAGAAGCTAGACCCGCTTTATGATCAAATAAAGACATGGACATCTACCTTCATACAATAACTCATTAATGAAGCAAAAATACCAGAATTTCTCTGGTTCTAGTTTGTCAGAAATGGAAACTTAGTGACTGTACGTTGAATACCTTGAATATGTTTTGAACTGCTGGTCAGACAAAAGCAATTTGAAGCCTCTTTTCACATTTTTACATTTCTTTTAAATATGTTCTAAACTAAATGACCAGCTTTAGTTTAAACTGTTAATCCAGAAGTAGTCTACATGTAGTTTTTGCACTCAGACTTTTTTGTTTTCGTCAGTATGAACAGAAAACATTGGATTTCTGTTTTTGGGGGTATTGATGCGACCTACATCAAACCTGGATTATGACTGAATGGTCTCAACAAGTATCGGATGAAATTTCTTCTTCCACACTGAATGAGTCCAACTGACTTTGGTGACCATATGACTTTTCACATGCATCACCAACAGGTCAAAGTTTTCACTCATTCAGCCAAACATCGTAACATCTACTACATAGATTGCCATAAAATTCAGTGCAGACGTGAAGACTTTTGGTGATCCTCCGCTGCCTTTTCCTTCCGGCTCCACCATGAGGTTCACAGTTCTGGTTTTGAGCGAAACATCTCAACAACCATTACGGATTGATATTTGGTTCAGACGGCCGCACACTCTGGTCTTGTTGAGTGCTAATAAGTATTGATTGTGAGAGTGGGACAACAGTGGGACAAAATGAGGAAGAGATACCACTTTATTAGATTCGGGGGTGATGAAGACACACAAACAAAATCTGCACAAAATGAAAGTTCATAACAGACGGGGGACGGCTTTTGTTATTGCTCCTCTGTCCAACGTCGCTGTCAGATAACATTGGTATCATACAGCGGAATAGATGCAGCCAGTCATCCAGTAAAATCAGATAAAAGCCGAAATGAGCAGGAAGGTTGGTAGTGAGGCCGTTATCTCGTTGTGCTCATAATGAATGAACCAGAGGTTGTTTTGGATCCGTGGCAGACGGAGAGACGGCAGGTGAATTCAAGGTTTTCTGGCAGGATTTTTGGGGGCTGACACACATTTTTCATACAGTGTTCCCAAAACATTTGCTCTGCCAGAAAGAGACCATATTTTATATTATTTAAATGGAAGACACCAAACTGTCCCCGTGACCTACTTTTCACAATCCACTGAGCACATTTTCTCCTCCGCTAAACATTTGGATTCCTTTTTAAAAAAAAATAAAAAGTAAAAAAACACTGGGAACACTGTATATATATATATATGTATATATACATATATATATATTTGGCACTGCTGCTGCTTCCATGTGCACATGTACACACAAACAACCAACTGCAGACACACACACACACACACACGTATCCACACAAAACATCTCCTGTTGCCCTGCCCCTCTCTCTTCCTTTATGCTTTGTGTGTGTGTGTGTGTGTGTGTGTGTGGAAGAATGCCCACGACCCCCACCACCATCATTACCCCCAGGGCCCTTGGGCATTCATCACCGTGTGTACCCCCCCATTTACCCCTAAAACACCCCCCCCCCCCCAACACACACACACACACCACTCTCCTTTTCATCCAGACACCCTCCCATGCTCCTCCCCCCTTCCCCCCCCCTCCCCCCTTTTGTTTGTGTCTCTGTGTCACACCATTAAACAAAGCTGGTTGTTTTGACGGCGTCAAACAACACACTTAATTTTATTTATTTTTTTGACATAATCTCAAACTGCCTCATCCTGTCCGCCGCTCACAGAGAGAGACGAAGTTAAGCTCCTGCGAAACAGAGCGATCTCCCCTGGGAAAAAAACCCCCCCAAAAAACAGAGAAGTGGCCAGAGTGTGTGCACTCCCATTGAGATCCAACACTTTCAGATGAATAGCACATGACGGAAAGCTTTGAGAACAGAGGGAGGGAGCAAGGGAGGGGAGGGAGGTGAGGAGGAGGAGGAGTGGCAAAGTTTTGGGAAAGAGAGAAGGTGGAAGAGACGGCAGGAAATGTAGGAGGAAAAAGTTAAAGTCTGAGAGGAGGAGGAAGAATGAGGGAGTCTTAGGATGGAGGAAAGCAGAAGAGGAGGAGGGATGTGTTCCTAGAAATGGAGAAGGAGGAACAGGGTTAGGGAAAAAGAGGATGGAAGAGGAGAAAAAGATGGAAACATCCTCAAAAAGGTGTCGGCGAAAAGACAAAGACATAGAAATAAGATGAATAAGAAAGGAGGAGGAGGAGGAGGAATGTATTTAAAGGAGAGAGGACAAAAAGTCTGAGGAGGAGAAAGAGGTGGAATAATAAAAACAGGAAAATGTTTTAGGAAAAAGGATGGAGAGAGGAGGAGGAGGCAGGAAGCGTCTTGAGAATGAGGAGGTGGGAGGAGGAATATCTTAGTGGGAAGCAAAGTAAGGATGGAGGGAGCAGGAGGAAAGCTGCAGAGGAGAGGACTAAAAGTTTCTAGGGGGAAAGGAGGTAAAAGGCAAAGTTTTGGGAGATGAAGATAAAAGTATAAGGAGGAAGAGGAGGAGAAACTTCTCTGGGAAAGGGGGAAGGGGACGGAAAGGAAAGGGAAGGGTGGAGAGAAGAGGAGGAAGAAAAGAAAGGAAGGAAGAGGAGAAAGAGGGGAAGAGGAAAAGAGAGTTTAAAAAAAGTATTGGAAAGAGTCCAAAGCAGGTGAGGAAGAGAAATGTCTGGGGAAGAGGAAAGAACAGGAAATTATTTTAATTAAAGGAAAGAGAGAGTGGAGGAGGAGGAGGGAAGGATATAAGGAAAAGTTGTGGGGAAAGGTTTGAAAGGAAAGATTGAGGAAGAGTAGAAGAAGATTTCAGGAAAAGGGAAGGAAGGAGGGGGGAAGCAACTTTGGAAAAGGAGGAAGGGAGGAAGTAAAGGAGGAACAGTTTGATGGAAAAGAAATACGATTTGAGAAAAGAGGGAGGAGGACAAAAAGTTTGAGGAAGAGAAAGAGGTGGACGCTTTGATGGATGAACATAGAACATAGAGAGAGGAGGAAGAGGAGGAACGCTTTAGGGAAGGAAAAAGAGGAAACATATTGGGGAAAGAGGAAAAGTGGGTTAATAAAGTATTGGAAGATGAAGAAATTGAGGAGGAAGAGGAGGAGAAATGTCTGGAAAAAGAAGAGGAAGGAGGACAAAAAGTTTGAGGAAGAGAAGGAGGTGGAGGCTTTGAACGACAAAAAAAAGTAGGAAAAGTTTTAGGAAGGATGGAGGGAGGAGGGGGAAGATGTCTTGGGAAAATAAGGGAGGGAAGGAAGGGAGGAGGGATGAAGAGCATGGGGGGAGGAGGAGGAAGAAGAGGGGGGCGGGGGGACGGGGGCGGGGGGGGCATCAACAATCCTTTTTTTCCCCTCCCCAGATGATGAGAAGGAGAAGGCTGCCGAGCGCGCTGCACTCCGCCGTGCGTCCAAGTGCCCAAAGCACCGATCCTCTCCGAGCCAAACCAAGCCAAGCCGAGCCACGGCGTGCGTCTGCGCCCCCCAAACGCAAACCCCCCCTCCTCCCTGCCTCCACCGCCACTACTACTACCACCACTACCACCACCACCACCACCCCACCCTCGCTTCGCCATCTCCGACCGCTGTTGTAAAGCGATGGAGCCGTAACCAACCTCAGTGTGCTGAACTGAGCCGAGCGTGTGAAGCCGCGGCGGATACGAGGAGACAGCTGAGACCAGGCGGCTATGGAGGAGAAGCGCAGCGAGGCTGGAGTCTAGACTGCACGCAAATCAACTGACCCACTCGTCCGGATTACTTTTTTGCCACATTTTTTGAACTCTACTGCCACTGTTAGAACAGGGACTTTATATATATATATTTTCCCACCCGATCATCTTAGGCTACCACTGCTCGGCGAGGATGCAGGGGAAGGAGGCGAGCTTTTGCACGGGATGCTGGAGACTAACGCTGCTGTCGTGCGTCCTGGCTCTGCACTTGATCCCGCCGGCTGTCCACGGTAAGAAGCTGCCCTTCAGCTGTGCACTTGCATCATGCAAAAGCGTCCACATATTAATGTTTTTTTGCTGCTGCAGCAGCAGCAGCAGCAGCAGCAGCTTGTCCTCTCTGTGGATCCACGGTACCTAAACACACTCCCACAGGGCAGCCAGAAAGGAGGTCAGTGAGGCTCGGATTGTGGGTTAGGAAGCACTCAGCACTCTGCTAGTATTAAAAGTCTATTGGTTAGAACAATTAGGAGACATTATTCTTAACACCTTGCTGATCTTGACATTTCCTTGTCAATGCAAATCAAAATAAATTAAATTTTGCAGAATCTGTCATCAAATAAATGTAGGTAATGCACATTTTGATGCACACTACAGCAAATATCTTCTTGATATCACTCTGCAGGAGTATCATAGAAATTACCAAATTTCAAATCTATTTTATTTGGATGCTCATGTCATGATTAAACCACTGAAGGCTCATTATTGAACACCATGTCCCTGCAGGGACATTGTAGAGATGCCTTAGGAGGCAAAAAATGGCAAAACCCAAAATTAGGTCACGATAAAGACACAATTAGACAATCTAAATCCTTATGAATATTACAGAGACACCAGAGGGGAGGTAACAATGGGGTCAGCACAAACCCTTCGGACACCATAGACACATTGAAAGACATGATATTAGGACATTAATTAAAACATTTTTGAGATCCCTCATAGGGAGTCTATGTAAGGAGTAATGTTGTAAATGGAGATAATTAATATATGAATATGCAATAAGGTCACAATCAGCTCAGTGCTCAGACATTGTAAGTGATTATATAGGATGGGAGGGTTTTAAAAAATATATATCATTTTAGGACATGATAGAAGCATCTTAGGAGGCAACCACAGCAAGAAACCAGGTCAGTAAATCAACACTTGCAGCGGTGCGGACTCACTCTGAGACGCTGCAGGAATATTAGAGGAGAAATGATGGAGATTTGTGACAGTGACAGCGTCCAGCCGATGCTGGAAACCGGTCCGGATCCCTGGAGGCGCACTGGCACTACAGCGACACAAAGGCGAGGATTAGGGCTGGAGGGGGAGGGGGGGGGTGGGGGGGGGAGTAGGGGGGAGGGAGGGGGGGCAGGATGAATAATTCATGAAGGGATCTAAACGGACATTCTGATACACAGAGAGGAAAAAAAAACAGTCGAGTAAACATTAAAAAAAGGGACACGGAGGCTCTCTCTCTCTCTCTCTCTCTGTGTCTCTCTGTGTCTCTTTGTCTGAGATTCATTGCGCATGGCGGGCTACATTACTGTCAGATTAATAATGCAGGAGCGTGCACGAGATGAAATCGCCCTGGCGTTATAATCTAATATAATCTGGCTGATTCTTTTCATCGCTCTGGCTCAAACTCACCGGCTGTGATGTGATTGCAAACTGGAGTCCAAAAACAATGATGTTTTTTTTTTTATTATTTTTTTTAATGTGTGTGTTTTATTTGGAGCTGAAAAACAAATCTCACATCAGTGGAACATCCAGGAGCAGTGATCTCTGTCAGCTGCACATCGGAGCCTCCTGGCCCAGTCATCAGGCTTCGCTCCATTCCCCCTCTGAAATGTAATGGATATTTATGTTGATGTGTTTTATTTTATTTTATTTTTTTTTTAAGTGGCAGGTGCATTTCTCCCTCCTCTGCTCTCTAATGCCTCGCAGGAATGTGAGATATGAGCTCATCTAACCAGTTTGAAAGGATCTGTGCAGACGGTGCGATGAGTCTGAATATGAGATAATTGTGAGGAATATTTGGCCTCAGCTCTCTTAAAGGAGAAATTCAGACTTTGGGAAATTTGCCAGTTTCCCTCTTTGAGAGTTAAACGAGAAGATCAATACCACCCTCCTGGCTAATATAAAGCTACTGCCAGCGGGGGGGTTGTGTTAGCTTAGCACAATAACTGGCTGCAGGGGGAAACAGCTAGTAATACCTGCGCCTCTACAGCTCGCTTAATAACACTTCACATCTGCACTGAAACCAAAGTGTTTGCACCGGTTGCATTGCATCCTCATGCACACGACAGGTAACTAAAAACCTACACAGACTTAAAGATGAGAGTTTGGGAATGTTGGCTTTGTGCTGGACCAGAGTTCAGGGGTCAAATGCCTCTGCATAGTCTTATCTAATGAGCTGCCCTTGAGCAAAGCACATCACTGCGATTTTCTTCTACCAGTTTCAGCCACAAGTCTGATTTGTTAAAAAATATATGTAATGTTTTATTTTTGAAGTAAGACAGAATAATGTAAGTTGCTGAACTGGACAACATCTGCAAGGCAACATCTGTAGCGTAAAACTGTTGAAATTCACCACATGGGTGCATTTCCCCCCCCCCACTTGTTTTAAGAAAAGAAGAAATGAGGCAGCTCCTCTGTGAGGTTGTCCTGACGGAACATGAACGTCTCACCCAGATTTCAGAGCCGTTCGTCCAGCAGCAGTTGAGATATTTCAGGCAGCGGCACGTGTAGAGCCGCGCCACCAGCAGGATTTACAGCTAAAGATGGAGATTTGGATGTGTGAAGGGATTACTGATGGATACTAAAATAACAGAATGCCGTATGATCACCTGAAACTCAGATTCGAGCACTAATAAGTTTCTGTAACCGTTCATCAGTGCCGCCGCAGCGACTTCCTGTCGGCTCAGACTCAGGTGGATATTCAACAAAAAGAGGTTGGCAGATCTGGTTCAGACCCCCTTAAAACAACCTTGGGCTAAACCTCCCCCTCCCTCCCATACACACACACACACACACACACACATTTTCCCGCTTCACCGGTGAAGTGTGGAGGCGGCAGCTTGCCCCACATCTGTGAACGATGCTCAGACATCCAAGGCCAACTGCCCTGAACTGACAACAGCCGAGCAGAACGCCGTCAGTCATTTCCTGTTCGCTTTTTCTCCGGTGGCCATTTGCAATCATCCTCCTCCTACTCCTCCTCCTTCTGTGTGTTTAATACTGATAATATGCCGCCGTCTCTCCCCTCCCCCCAACGCACAGTTTAACTGGTAGAAAGGTGGTTGATGGGGGCAACGGTTTCTGGTTCTTGCGAGGATGTTCAGCCGCTCCCTTCACCCTCCTGCCCTGCTGACACATATCTGCTAGCTGACAGATTATCTTTGATGTGCAGTGGGTCAATCTTCAAGCCAAATCCTCCCTCCATGACTCCACTAACCTGATCCAGCCTCGTTTTTATCACAGTGTGATAGAAATCCCCCCCGCTCCCCCTCAATCCTCCCCAATAAAATCACCTATAGTTTTTGATTATTGGTGTGGTGAACAATGGCTTTCCTCCTGTTCTCTCCTCTCGCATCTCCCTTTTCTCTGGTCTCCATGGAAACCACACACATCCGTTGACATGACGCCGGCTGGCAGCCCAGTGTGTTCACATGGCCGCCATAATGTGTTCGCGCTTTGAATTTTATTAAGGCTCGAAATGTTGGTCGGATTTTTGGCGCACGCTGACGCCTCTTGCTAAGTCTGGTGGCTCAACGCCTACTGACCGTGCATGAGTGTGTGTGTGTGTGTGTGTGTGTGTGTGTGTGTGTGTGTGTGTGCGCGAGTCCAGATCTCATTGGCAATGGGTGTAGTCCATCATTACCAGCTATAATTTGTAGATGATATCATCATTTGTAGTGGCGTATTCATTATTTCGGCGTAATGATTTCATGCACGGTGTGTTTGATTTGCAGCAGATGAACTGTTGGCTCTGCAAACATCAGTTTTTTTTTTGTTTTTTTTGGAAGCTGCAGCATTTTTAGACAAAGTCTTACTCGCTGTGTGTCACCGCAGATCATTTACAGTCTGTCTTGATGATATTTTGGGAGCAGTCACGTTCAGAGGCAGCTTCAGTTTGCATGATGTTTTTAAATCTTGTTCAGAGGAAGTAGAGCAGGGATTTCTAGTCCGACTTACAAAGGAGAAAGAAAAGTCAAAACTCCAGCAACACTTATACACAGTTGTGCTTCTGTGTGCAATTGGCGTTTGATGCTTTTAGTAATGGAAAGTAAAGTAATGGACACGCGGGAGCGCTCGTCAAAATGTCAGACCGCTGAAGCCACGACGGGCCCAGTTATCAGAGTGATTAGCAGTAGCATGTGATCATGTTATAAGACCGCAGTGATGTCCATTTTGTCCTTCTTGAGTCAGTAGTCACATAAATTTAGCTCACATTGCCTGGTTTCCACCTCCGCTGCTTCTCTCCGTTTCTTCTCGTTGCAAACGGAGCGCCTTCCATCTCTTTTTTGGCCGTTTCTCAAAAACATAAACAGAAGCCGCTCCTCCTCATTTGTGGCGTTTGATAGACTAAAGAAGTAATCGCTAATGAAAACAGTCTCTGGTTGCAGCCACAGTCTCCCTCTGTTCTCCCGGGGGAACGGGCAGGGACACAAACTTTTCTCTCAGCACTAAACTGGGATCAGCGGTGGCTATTAGGTCTCTCATCCAGATAAATCTGTTTGTTGGGAAACTAAATGATCCTAATCTCATTTGTTATATCCGCCCACCTGGATCTGCCTGCGGGCCAACATTAGCATACGTAGGTGGCCACAGGCTTGACCCGACCAGCTGCTGGCTTCTCTCTGTGTTACTTTGTGTGAGCTCGTGTGAGCGGGGAAGAACTGAACTGTATGTGGGTTTGTGTTTATATTTCAACCCCCTCTGAGGTGCAAATGTCCTCGTAGAACAAAGTAATAACATTTTTGGGAAATGGGCATGAAACGGGAAACACGGGTTAGGTGTTGCATTTGGAAATTATGCAAGAATCAAGTTTGTGTTTCACAGTTTTGAAGTGTGAGGAAACGTCCTGAAACGAGCCGGGAAGGATTTCCTAACAGTTTAACACGAAATAAAAGTGTTTGGATTGAAATACTGACGACTAGAACTGTTGTTGTGTTTTGCGACAGGCGTGCCGCACCTTGGTTGTCACGGTTACAGTAATAAACATGCGGACTGTGCAGACAGCGGCGTTCAT